CCCTCGCTCACGGCGCGCGTTGCACTTGCTGGCCCACGAGTGCGGCCGCAGCGGCCAAGTGTGCACCCCCAAGTACTTCCCGCAGGCCTTTCGCCAGCCCATAGCGCGCGGGCGGGGAGGGGTTTGGGGTTTGGGATTTGGGATTTGGGATTTGGGATTTGGGAGCGAGTGCCGGCGCGTTGCACTTGCTGGCCCACGAGTGCGGCCGCAGCGGCCAAGTCTGCACCCCCAAGTACTTCCCGCAGGCCTTTCGCCAGCCCATTCGCGCGCGGCCGGACTTCGCCTGCGGCCGCACCTTTTTGCTGCTGCCGGGCCATTCCCACTTGTAGAGCTGCATGCGTTCGGTCCAGCCCGCGAGGGAGCGCCGGATGTGCCAGTAGACCTGCGCAAACCCTAAACCCTAAACCCTAAACCCTAAACCCTAAACCCTAAACCCTGGCTCTTAAGTTTTAAGCGTGTGGGATAGAGCGTGGTGGGTTCTGGGTGAAGGCTAAACCAGTCGCTCGCTTCAACCCGCGAGGGAACGCCGGATGTGCCGGTAGATATGCACAAACCCTAAACCCTAAACCCTAAACCCCAAACCCTAAACCCTAAACCCTGATGGCTGGAGGCTAAAGGATGAGGGCTGAAGAGTGAGCCCGAAACCCGCGGCTCGCTCCAACACGTCAGAGAGCGCCGGTGGTGCCAGTATGCACGCAGAAACCCTAAACACTAAACCCTAAACCCCAAAGGCTGAAGCCGAAACCCTAAACCCTAAACCCTAAAGGACGAGCCCTAAACCCTAAACCCTAAAAGCTGAACCTGAAACCCTGAACGCTTAAGCCTGGAGCTGGAAGGCGAAGGAGCAGCCCTTCGAACCAGCCAAAATAAATGAACTGAACAACACCTGCCAGGAATCCGGAAACCCTAAACCCTAAACCCTAAACCCTAAACCCCAAACCCTAAAACCGAAACCTCTAGGGCTGAACAGTGCAGCCAGAACCCCGAACAAGCAACCCTTGAAACGAACCAAAATGAATGAGTCGGACACCCTCTACCCCGAACAAGAAACCCTAAACCCTAAACCCTAAACCCTAAACCCTAAACGCTAAACCCTAAACCCTGAAGCCTAACCCCTAAACCCGCGTCCCGAACTAGCAACCCCTCTAACGAACCAAAAAGAATGAATCGGCAAATGCCCATTCTCTACCCTGAAGCGTCAACCGTGAGGCCTGAAACCTAAACCCTAAACCCTAAACCCTAAACCCTAAACCCTAAAGGCTCATGCCTGCTGCCTGGCGGACAACAGGCTCCACAGACATACTCCATTCGAAACACTAAACCCTAAACCCTAGACCCTGAACCCTAAACCCTCAAGCTCAAAGCCTAAATGCACAGCATCTATTCCTAAACCCTAAACCCTAAACCTTTGAATTTAAAGCCCAAAAAAACTGGCAGAGAGAGAGTGAGAAGACCCCATGAAAAAAACCCTAAACCCTAAACCCTAAACCCTAAACCCTAAACCTTAAACCCGGAAAAGGCTGCGCACCTGATGCAAAATGTCGGGCCTTAGCGGCTGGCCAAACACCTCAGACGGAACTTCTGAAGACGCAAGAAGCAGCAGCAGCAGCAGCAGCAGCAGAATTAGTACAAAAGGAAAAAAATGCAGCAACAGCAACAGCAGCAGCAGGGCAGGGCGGAGTGCAGCAGCTCTAAACCTGCAGCAGCAACTAAACGGACAGCGGCGAGAGCAGCAGCAGCAAGAGCCACAGCAACAAGCGCAGCAGCAGCAGCAACAAAAGGAACAGCAACAACAAAGCAGCAGCGGCAGCAAAAGCAGCAGCAAGAACAAGAGCAGCAGCACTGGCAAGAGCACCCGCCGCCGCCGCAGCAGCAGTAGCAGCAGCAGCAGCAGCAGCAGTAGCAGCAGCAACAGGAGCAGCAGCAGCAGCAGCAGCAGTAGCAGCAGCAACAGGAGCAGCAGCAGCAGCAGCAGCAGCAAACTTGCCTATATACTCAGTGGGCTGCTGCTGCTCCCCCTCCCAAGCCTCAAAAGAATTGACCGGCAGCAGCAGCCGCGAGCCAAAGCCGACCACCGGCACTGCCCAGTTGTGTCGATATACCGCACTCAGGTCAATGTTGCTGCTGCTGCTGCTGCTGCTGCTGCTGCTGCTGCTGCTGTTGCTGCTGCTGCTGCAAGTAGTGGGGTCGCCACTGCTGCTGCTGCTGGCGCTGTGGCTGCCGCTGCTGCTGCCGCTGCTCCAAATCGTACTGTTGCTGCTGCTGCTGGTGCTGCTCACGCTGCTGCGGCTTGGAATTACACCGCTGCTGTTGCTGCTGCTGCTGCTCCATGATGGAGCGGCAGCGGCTGCTGCTGCTGTGCTGCCTGCCTCTGCTGCAGCAGCAGCAGCAAAATGCCTCACCTGGGAGCAGCACTGGCTTGAGGGGGCCCGCTCCCTAACATTTCTGCTGCAGCAGCCCCCGTTGTTGCTTCTGCTGCTGCAGCTGCTGCTGCTATGAT